TAGTTCAAGTTTGAGTGATGGTGATAGTTCGTATCGGCGTGGTGGTGTTGAACATGCTTATTCTTTTGTTGGAATGCATTGCATCTTTGATCAGTGCAAATCTTCTGGTATATATATATATAGGTTTTAAATTGTTGTTTGTGTTTTCATGACTCGTTTTTTATTTTTTGTTCTAAGAGTGAGTTTGTTTAACTCTTATGTAGTTACTGTTCTTAAGTTTGGCCACATGAGTTCTGATCTACTTGCATATGGAGCATCAGATGGAAGCTTAACAGTTTGCTGTCTCTCCGAAGAGCCTCCTTCCCTCAAGCAGTTGACAGGACACTCGAAAGATGTCACAGGTTAGATTGACTGGTGTTGTTTCTTTCGTGTTTTCCGTATCTTGGGTAGATCATCCTGCTATCCTGAACTTGCTCTTGGAAACTCAAACAGTTACTTTCCATGCTTTGTTAGGGGTAAGATCTGAGTGTAAATTGATAGAGCATAAGGTGTATGTATGAAATTCATTTCAGATACTCTGGCAAATATTAATTCAAGCATCTTACTTTCTTGTTTCTTCAAATACCTTCAGATTTTGACTTCTCGTCAAACAATCAATACATCGCGTCTTCATCACTTGATAAGACAATACGAGTATGGGAGTTGTCAAGAGGCGTTTGTATTAGAGTTATATATGGAGTCTGTCCACAGTTTTGTATTCGCTTCCACCCTGTAAGTTGCTAATTGCTATATTTTTATCATCTGTCTATTTTTCCCTTGTCGCACCTTGTCGTTTTTGATAGTGAACATCTTCTCATATACTGAGTGAGCAACATGTGGTTTTCTCTTGCTTCTTTATTGAAGATATTACATTTTCATATTTTCAACAGGTCAATAATAATTTCCTCTCTGCGGGGAATGCCAACAAGGAACTCACGGTACTACTCGTAGAGAAGTAGATTGGTGTATTGCTTTTTTTTTTTTTTTTTTCCAATTGTTTACTTATCTGATGCCTTACATCTCTCTGCTTGACAAAGTAGGTGTTTAATTTCAGCACTGGGAGAATTATTAAAAAATTGTTGTTCGACGATGAGGTGACATCTATGGATCATGATCACACTGGCCAACTCATTTTCTGTGGAGATGGGCAGGTATCTTTTCTCTATTCTGATGTCAGAAGATATAATTGAGGTAGATGGTCTGTTATGGCTGACTATGGATATGCAAAAATCCTTATCTAGTTAACAGTCAAAGACTGACATCAGTTAGTGGTCGAGACTGTCTATGCTAACTACCCATGTTGTAGAGTTTTTTTGCATTGTTCCCTAGAAGGGGTGACATGATGACTTTGACTGTTAACTAGATAATGATTTCTGCGGCATTTTTACAATAGATTTATAATGTAGTTAAAAATACTTGCAGGGAACTGTATATTCAGTGAGCATGGATTCTCATACAGGTTCACTATCCCGGTCTCATCGCCATCGTACTAATCACAAATCCCCTGTCACAACTGTAAAGTACCGAAGCTTCTCCCTCCTGGCATCAGGTCCTGTTCTGCTCACATGTACTCAGGACGGAAACTTGTGTTTCTTTAGGTTCAGCAACAGAACTTCTTCTTTTGTTTCTGAATTTGCTCCCTTTTTTTTTCCCCATATAAATCCTTATAATTGATTGTTCTGCTTTGTGTTGGTGATGCAGTGTTGCCCTTCAGATAAAAGGTTATCTAACTTTGCGTTGCTCCCTCAAATTAGCCCCTCGAATACATAGAATCCAAGCATCGTTTTGCCCGCTATTATCCCTGGAGAAAGGAGAATACATAGGTTTGAATTTCAATCCTTCATTTAGCTATTATATTGGTAATCGTAGATGCATAGGTCTCTCTAGAATTGGTAGTCATTTCCACCGCGTTTCTTCCTGTTTGAAACTGCAGTCGCCGGGAGCGAAGACTCGAATGTCTACTTCTATGATCTAACCAAACCGAAGCACACATGTGTAAACAAGCTACAGGTTAGACAATATCTTCTTTTCATTCATATCTGAAACTTCTGTTTGTAGATTATAAGTTATAAGGAAACCGGTTTTCATGAGCTGTGAGAATTGGATGCTGCAGGGTCATAGGTTTCCAGTAATGTGTGTTGCGTGGAACCACGGAGAGAACTTGTTGGCATCGTCTGATTTCTACGGTGTTGTCATTGTATGGAAAAGAGCAAAGAAAAGCTCATAAGGTTTTGTCTATAATAATTATAAATGAATCTTAAATAATCCGCCAATTTTTTTGTTTGTTCCCACAAAGGCTTTGGGTTTTGCCTCCTTCATCTCTGTATCGCTAATCTCAAACTGTGTCAAGATACTCGGTTCGCAGCCGAGAAACCCGGGTACGATTCGCGAAAACAAGCCTATATATTTTGTTATTTAGCAACTTGTTACGAATCCAAGTGTAAAAAAGCGACGTAGAGTTCTTTTTTACTTTAGAGTAGGCGAAATTGAAGAAGAGATCTTACGAAATCTTGGCTTAATTTTTAAACCAAACTGATAATTCATCTAATCCTCAGTTTAAAATGATATGGAGCCGTAGAATTGGATGGTCTAACTGAAAACATTTGGTCTTAATTCTTTAAAGGATCAAAGTAATGTATGATTGTGCATTGAGACCAAAAATGGAGTTTAGGACAAGAAGTACAATATGGCCATAGTTTAAGGTCTAAGTAGAATTGGTTCGTGTTTTGTGTATCTGATACTAAAATCAATAGAATCTCAATCTCAACATCAGTGAGTAGTAGGGGAAACTAACCAAATCTCCCATTTCATGACTTATTCGATTTATCTATTTTTATTTTTCTATCTTTCATTATTATTTATTTTTTGATAATAAAAATAAGAAGGGGATGGTTTGGTTGGTCGTATATGAATTAAGTCACTCTTCCCTATCCACTGACTCGACTCTGTCTATTGTCCCAAGTCTCCTCTGCCATCTCTCTGCCCCAATTCAGACTTCTCTTTCCTTCGCCACCCATCAATTCACGTTCTTCTCTTAGTAACCCCTAATGTAATGATGACATATTCATTTTAACCAAACAAAAAAAAAAAAGTTGATATATTCACTTGTATTTTTCTATAATTTTTTTTATTTTATTTTGACGTTTTTTAACCTCGAAATTTGAAATACAAATTTGTTTACAAATACTTTACTATGTTTTTAGGTATTCAAATACGTTACTATGTAAAAAAAAAATGTTTTGTTTTCTGTTCTCTCCATGCAAAACTTATACACAAGACCATCAGGGAGGATCTTACCTCTAAAATTCTCCCAATGAGGATGCCCAAGAGAGGATCTTATGCTATATTCGATTTTCTCATCAATACCGGTGTGGTTTAATGTGTACCACATCCTATATAATGATTTTAACTAGAGTTATACTATCTCTTACCATCATTTCTTGTCATTTTCATTACCATAAACCAGGACTTATTATAAATATGTATTGGAGTTGGAATTTACTCATTATTTTGTTTCTGGTTCGTAAATTGTAAAATGGACCTACACTCTCATGGAGAAGAAAGTAAAAGTTCTCATACTCCTCCATGACAAGATAATATGGACCTACTTCTACACTCAGTGAGAAACAAAGTAAAAGTTATATAAACAGAGACATTGTGGACAAGAAAAGGTATTAATCTGTAAACTCCTAAACTCTGTGGGCACAATAAGACAAGGCTGAGTGGGGAAGAAAAGAGCACTTCATTTCATGATAAAGAGATACGAATATATGTTTTTAGTGTTTTTTTTAGAGTTTTCAGAAGAAAAAAAAAACTTCAAAAATCATCAATTCTTGCAATTTTATCTTCAATATCCGAAAATACATATCAATCATACAAATCATACATAACATATTACAAAATTCTCGTGCATATTCTTTAAAAAATTTTACGATAACATATTATGTATATTTTATTTCTAAGACGAGAATTGAATTCTTCGTCGCTAAAACTTCTAGTCGTATATTGTTTATAAAAGTTTACAAATTTGATGGTGATAAAAATAGTTTAGAATCGGTTTTATCTTTGATTTCACATAATTGATCTGCATTTTTCAAAGATTATTTTACGAAAACACTATTTGATTTCACATAATTGATATTCCCTACATTTCTCTAAGATAATTTTACAAAAACACTATTTGATTTCACATAATTAATCTTCCTTGCATTTCTCGAAGATTATTTTACAAAAACTCTATTTGGTTTCGCATAATTGATCTTCCATGCATTTTTAGAAGAATATTTTACAAAAACACTATTTGATTTCACATAATTAATCTTCCTTGCATTTCTCGAAGATTATTTTACAAAAACTCTATTTGGTTTCGCATAATTGATCTTCCATGCATTTTTAGAAGAATATTTTACAAAAACACTATATAATTGTATAAATGGGAATGCAACTATATAGTATACAACATTAAGGGTGGGTATATAGTATAGCATGTGGACCATGACAGATATTATTATTTCACAAGAAACCAAAGTTTTCAAATGTTGAAAAAATGAACTTTAAAGACAAAGAAGAAGAAGAAGAAACTGTAAAAAAGCTTACCAAAAAAGTGAAAATTATTTCTTTTGAAAACAATACATCCGTGTGTAAACTTTGACACGTTGTCCTTAAGGCCTACACAACATTATTCCCCACTCTAATAAAGATGACTACAAAAATAAAAATAAAAGTATCTTTGGTTTACAAATCGGACAATGAAGAAATATTTAAAAATTGCATAGCACCAAATTTAGATATGAAAATGTCTTTTGTCTTACTCCCCAAAAATATATGCTTGATCAACAAACAAATAATCTTATAAAGAAATTAGGAATATAAAAATATCTTTACTTTTAGTAACCAATTAGGAATATATCACATTTTTCAACTCCCAACAAAATAAAATATAAAATTCAGAAAAATCATTGTATGGTGGTTTATATCTTCAATCACTTCTATTGCAGAGCCAGAGAGAAGAGAGATAGAGGGAGAGAGAAAGACATTAGGGTTTAGATCTAATCTACCAACTGGTTGTTAAGTTGAACAGAAGCTCCTTAACTTAATTAGTTTTGTTTATTTAAAACGTTTTCTTGTTTTTTTTTGTTATCTTCAACCAAAGACTTCTTGACTTCAAGAAACAAGGAGAAGCAAAAGTTCAAGAACCAAACCAGCTTTAAAGAAACATTCCATTATCTTTGCTTTAAGGAGATTGGTCTTTTGTTCTCTTGAATCTTTTTCAAGTTCTTGAAAAATCTTGATTTGGGGAGATAAAGATTTGTGTTCTTGGGATCATCAAGACTTCAAAAAAGAAATAATATTTATCCTTTTTTCAGTTTGAGATTTCTTAGTGTTGTTGTCTCCTTTAACACCCACAAAGCCATCAGATGATTTCCTGGTAATTGTTTAATCTCTTCTTTCTTTCTCATTTTAAATTCTTGATTTTTTTTTTTGTATTCACATGTTTCTTGTATAATCCTTGTTCATTGGTTCAATTTCTAATAAAGTATTTTATAAACATAATGTGAAGTAAAAAAGCTTAGTGTTGATTTGTGTTTTATTCTTGAAACAGAACAATCCTTGTTTGAGGAAGGAGATTATGGCAACTTATTACAAAACTGGCTCAAGTGAGATTTATTCAAGACCAAATGTACAAGACTTTGTCCCTGGAAACGCAATGGTCTACACGAATTCTTACTCAGAGACGTTTCCTAGAGAATCAACTAATATTAATGTCTCAGCTTCAAAAGAGATTCAAGTGTTGTCAAGTTTTGGTGGGGCTTCACAACAAATGTTGGAGGTTCAAGATTCTGGTTCTTGGAGAGATCAAGAAGACAATGACAGGAGTTGTTTCCCTGTGATGATGCGTCTTGGCCTCAGCTCTCAGATTGAGACATCCAGAAGCAATAATAACAATGAGTATGCAAATGCAACACATGTTGTTTCGGGATTTACTCGAACCATTCACAACTCAAAGTATCTCAAGGCTGCTCAAGAGCTTTTGGATGAAGCTGTTAATGTCAAGAAGGCTCTTAAGCAGTTTCAGCCAGAGGGAGACAAGATTGGTGAAGAGAAAGAGAAGTTTCTTCAGACGAATGTTGCCGAAATCCCTCAAGCAGAGAGACAAGAATTGCAGAGCAAGTTGTCGAAACTTTTATCGATATTAGATGAGGTAATCCCCCTTAATAGGATATCCTTCTATGGTTGTAGATGACTTCTCTTGCTAACATAAATGGCTGTTTGATTCTTTGTTGTTTGAAGGTGGATAGAACATACAAGCAGTATTATCATCAGATGCAGATTGTTGTGTCGTCTTTCGATGTAATAGCTGGATGTGGAGCAGCCAAACCGTACACATCTCTCGCGCTTCAGACCATCTCAAGGCATTTTCGTTGCTTAAGGGATGCGATATCCGGACAAATCTTGGTGATAAGGAAAAGTTTAGGGGGGGAACATGATGGATCAGATGGGAGAGGAGTGGGGATAAGCAGATTAAGGAATGTTGATCAACAGGTAAGGCAACAAAGAACGTTGCAGCGGTTAGGCGTGATGCAACCTCACACTTGGCGGCCTCAACGCGGTTTACCTGATTCCTCTGTTTTGGTTCTACGTGCTTGGCTATTCGAGCATTTCCTCCACCCGTAAGTCTCCTACTACACTTTCGAATTTCTTGATTGATTACAAAAGATTCTGACCAGTTGTGTTTAAAACCCTGAACTTAGTTATCCAAAGGATTCAGACAAGATCATGCTTGCTAGACAAACGGGGTTGAGCCGAGGCCAGGTATTGCACTGTTAGCTTTTGTGTCGTTTGAATACTCTTCTTTTTGTTATGTTCAGTTTACATTGTTCCTTTGATGATTGTTGAAAGGTGTCGAACTGGTTCATAAATGCGCGTGTGCGTCTCTGGAAACCCATGGTGGAGGAGATGTACAAGGAGGAATTTACAGATTCATTGGAGGAGAATGATCCCAACCTGTCTTCTGAAAACACACCAGAAATCACCGAGATTCAAGAGCAGCAAACCGAGTCTAGTTCCAACAACGGGAATGTATCTGGTCTGGCAAGCAGCAGCATGGGACAAAGCACGGTGGCTCGTGGTGGTGCCCAGTTCATGATGGTGAGTGACATGACAGGAAATGGTAGTGGTGGGATGTCTTTAACGTTGGGGATTCAAAATTCTGATGCTCGTGGCGATGTTCCTATGTCCGGTGGGATAGTTCATTATGAGAATACCATTTCTGGAACCGATTTCCAATACTTAAACTCTCACAACCACCAGCACCGGCTTGGCTCTTCAAAATTGTTGCATGACTTTGTAGCTTGATGAGGAGAATAGAAAGGTGTAGAAATGTATTCTTTTGTGAAAGTGAACCCAGAAACTGAATTTGTAGATTAAATGAGAAAACATGAGGAGATGATGAACACAATCTGAGACTGGATACAATTTGCTCTTCCTGGTTAATATAATAGATTAATCATATATACGGTCAGAGACTCGAGGCATATGAGTTAAAAGGTTTGATATTGAAACTAAACTTGAAGCTGCACTTAAATTGCTAATCATCTTTCAGAAAATTCACAAGAATCCACCCGAAGTTATCTTATTGACAGGTTTCTAAAACCTAAGCATGTCCAAAATCGAAGAACAAGTTTCTGTCTGAGTTTACCTGAAAGAGAAGAATTACGGAAGTTTAATAACAGAGAAATGTGAGTTAAAGAGTTGTATATGTGGATTTGATCTAAGCTGATTTTACCTTTTGTAGAGAACTCTTATGTCTTCTCTCAAGGCAGGACTTTCAAGGAAGTTATCACCAGCTTCATCCACATCGATAGTCTCTACCTCAAAGTTTCGGTAGCCGCAGTACTCATTCCACTCGAACCACATCTTTGAGATAACTTCCTTTTTGAAGCAAGTGTTATGATCTTCTTCCTCAGGTGATGACCCAGCAATCAATCTGTATGCATGCACCATCTTTGTTTGTCCAGGTCGAAACGCTCGCCCAATAGCTTGGCGGGTCACAGAAGGATTCAGGGGAACATCCAATATTAGTATGCGAGATGCTCCAACTAGCGAGATACCTTCTCCACATGCTTTTATTGAACCAAAGAAGATTTTGGCGTCTGGCGAATTGTTAAACCTTTCCATAAACAACTCACGCTGCTCAGAAATGGTATCCCCTGTAAGAACAAAAACTTCTTTCCCTAGTTTCCACCCCTTCGCTAAAGCAGCTAGTCTTTCAAGAAACTTCAGTGGAATGAGATACTGACTGAACACCAAGAGCTTTTCACCAGCTGAGTCGCACAGGTTTATCAAGTTAAGGAAGAACTTTGCTTTGACGCCTTCATTCACATCTAGCTTATCTAGCATTTCGTCCATAGTTTTATCACAGACATCATCAGACTTCTCAGAGAAAACTTTCAGCTTCGGGTGAAGGTAAAGTGCACTTCCAACAGCAGAAACCTTGAATTTTCTCTTCTCACGCCTTAACTTCTTCACTTCGTTCAACTGCCTTGGAGACAGATTAAGAACCACAGTGAAATCAGCAAGTCCAGGAAGCTCATCTAAGAAATCTCCTTTGTAGTAATGAAGCACCTTCTTGGTCATCTCCCGCAAATCTCGGATTACTTCAATTTTCACCTTGAAATCCTCACACTTCTGCAAGGTGTGCTCCACAGTTTCATTGAACACCGAAGCCATATCTGAATTGCTGCTTCCAGTAAATCTCCCCTTGACACCAGCTGGAGCACGACTTAATATCCTCTTCACAACAGATTTGGAGGTATCCAATTTGAGAAACTTGGGTCGAACAAGGTTCAGAATGTTGAAAACCTCCTTTACATGGTTCTGATAAAGCGTTCCTGAGAGGACAACTTTTCTTGGTGTTTGGACTTGGGCAAGGGACTGCAATATATTAGTGTCTTCATTCCTTGGAGTGTGTCCTTCATCCAAAATGAGAATTGAAGGAGCTTTGAGAAGTATCTCCTGGCAAGAACGTGAGTCGGCACTCGCATCATCACACACAATAGTTGAGAACTGCTTGTACCCAAGAAACAAGATACTCTTCTTCTCCATCCACTGTTTTAAAATAGTCAGCTGTTGTGCACGGTTATCTGCTTTAGCACTATAGAAATCAAGCAGTGGTATGTCCTCAACTTGCCATCTCACAAACTCTCTTTTCCAGGTAGACAGAATACCCTTTGGAAGTACAACCAGTGTCTTAGCCTGAGGATACTTTGCAAGAAAGCTCTGCATAAAACTGATAATCATGAAGGTTTTGCCAGAGCCTGGAGCATGAGCCATGATACAACCACCAGGATCGTCCGCCACTAAATTACTGCAAAGGAACTGGAATCCTTCAACTTGATGAGGCTTCATTTGGTTAGCATGCAATGGATGAGCAGAAAGTCCACCTATCATCAGCCCTTCTTCAGATAACTTAAGTTCAACATCAGATTCGCTAATCCTTTTATTCCGAGTTTCAGAAGCATATGTTCTCGTGTTTCTTTTTGCCTACAATAAAATTGTTATAGGAAAACGAAATTAGAAGCTCCACCAGTTTTTACAAGGGAAAAAAGTTTGAGCACTAAGAAACATACTTTTTTATCAAAGCACAAATTAGCTTAGTATCAAAAAAAGGGATACTTACTTTATGAAATTGCACATCGATTATATCTAATATACTTTTCTCAATAACTCCACAGACACGGCAAACAGAACCCATATCATCCATTAGAATAAACGAGTGCTCACAGTCTTCCACTACATCTGCCTTTGATTCCTTTTGTGAAGTCTCCCCGGCTACATCCTGCAGATTTATCATAATCACAATGAATAAAGCAGGAAAAGTGGCAAATAAAAGATTAAAAATTAGGAGCTAAGTTCTAAAAAGAGCTTTCTACTTAATATTTCAGATGCAAGAACTCTAAGAGATGCAACATCAAGCACTAGGAGGGCAATAATAACAAAAAAAAAGAAGAGAGAGAGTACAGAACCCTCTTCACAAAATAGACACCCAGTCTGAGTACTGAAAGGAACAACTGAACAGTTGAAGTAGGGAAATTTTTTATGCAAAACCTAGAGTCCATACTGATTGATTTGTAAATATTTAAATCCTTGTGAGGAATTTATATCTTCGCAAATGTATAGGACAGCAATAGGTAATACAGGGTCCTTTTGTGGGAAAAACAAACGACTGAAATCTCAGTTTCTTTAGACATACATACCTTGGTACACACTATTGACATGGCCATTTCATTCCACATATCACCAAGATCCTCATCTTCTGATTTAGACTCATCATCACTGTCATCCTCAACTCCCACGTAAACACCTTTATCGTTAACCATACCATTTTCTATGGGAAGGGTTTTTTCTCTACTTGTTTGTCCCTCCTGTGAAAATTAAACAAACATCAACCTCTTGTATGGCTAGTTTGTAAATACAGGTGACACTAACTGTAACCTTTAATCAAGTTTAAAGCAGTACCAGATAGCTTGACAGGAAATAGGAACTTACCACCAAGCCCTTGATGGCAGAAGGCATCTCCATTTCTTTGATGGCAGAAGGCATCTCCGTGCTCTTGATGGCAGAATGTATCTCCCTGCCCTTGATCGCAGAAGGCATCTCCATGCCCCTCCCTAAAACGACCTCCTCAAAATTGAATTGCGGTGTTACTGGTGTCACATCCCCTTGATTCTTCTGATGCAGCACAAGACTTGACTGAAACTGATACATAGGCCTCTGACTCTCACCGTCCTCGTCATCAGAATCCAAAATCACAATCTCGGATGAAGGCACCACACAGAGAGCTTTCTTCGAAACATCAGTATCATCACCATCATCATCATCTAAATTGATGACACCTTCCACAACCTGTTGATTCTCCAACTCCATCAGGTCAACCGTCTGACAATTTTCTCCTCCAAACACAGTAGCGGCTAGCGATGGATATAACCAGATACATTGCTTAACCAAACCCATCCTCATATCAGCTATCTCTTGCAATTCTTTCGTAACACTCCCAAATCTACCACCATCTAAAGCTTCAAGCATATTACTAACAGCAAATGGTTGAGAAAAATCGATAACTCTCGGTGTGCTCTTAACCCGCTTCGCTTCAGGTGTAACAGACCCAACATAGTCTCCATCATTAACTTGACTCAGCTTCCTTTTATGTACATTCTTATAGTACCCTGTCATTAGAAATCCAAACAAACCCCATAGTCACACTACTCTCCAAATGAACAACCAATTCGTAATTTCACACAAAACCCTAAATCACATCCAATCACAAAGACCCAAAGATGAGAAAATGAATCAAACATCAACAGAGTCTAAACCCCAAAACATTTAGCTCAGGATCATTATACAACACCATGAACATTGTAAATTTGCCCAAATAAACACAAAATCAGGTTTGGGAACAACATGCATGTAATGTAATGACACTAAAATCATACAAAAGAACCTAATTTTTCACTGAGAAGATTCATATACAGTGAAAGTTGAAGAGCGAGAGATACCGTTTGTGGAATCTTGATCGGGCTGGAGAATCTCCATTAAAACCAGTAAAGGTTGGAAATTTCGAGCTGAAATTGAAGAAGATGAACACGAATCGAAGATGAGAAGAGAACGAAGCAAAAACTTGAACTTTTTGGTTTTGCCTCGCCCTCGCGCGTGCTTCGAAGCTGAGAGACTCTCTGACTTAGGAATTAGTAGCGATTTTATTATCTCTGATTAACTTTAATTAAAAGAAACAATTATGTCTTAACTTAATTGCGACCCAATTAGAGATATTTGCATAAAAGACCTTTCAATTTACTCGAAATTCCAATTGACACCTTCAACTTTTTTGATGTAGATAACAAAGAAATTAGGCTTGGGATTCGGTTAATTGTTCGGTTTTGGTTCGGCTGCGCTTGGTTTCGGTCAGGTTGGATATGGTAATATAACAGCCATTTGGATGGATATTTAAGAAATTTTTGTTTAAATCGGTTTGGTTTCTTTTATGTTTGGTTTGCTTCAGATACTTGAATATATAACCGTAACTAACCAAAGTTTTATCGAATTTGGTTTGGTTTCAATGCAGCATCCTTGTTTTGAATAACTTACCTTAAGGTCCTTAATCCTTAATCAAAAATAAACATTTTTCAATGTTTTCGTCTTATTCATTCGGTACGTTTTCATGTTTTTCTTTGGTAAAAATCTAGAAGTCGCTAGTTCGAGTGACACTTTAAGACGAGACCATATAATCTGTTTTTGTTTTGGGCCTAAGGACGTATAGACTTCGGCCCAACACCTCTAGCCATTGAAAAAAAAATAGTATATACATCATGACACAAGGACATATATGAAAACCAAAACCAAAGACACTATATATTGTGATGCCATGGGTATGTGCCACGGAATATAGTAGTAGCATATAGCTCTCGAGCTAGCTGCTTACCTTTATTTAGCTTTCACATATATATGTTATATTACATCTCCAAAGTTCGATGAAACTATATAGTCATTGAAACTAATTATATCTATAGTTATACTAAGGATAGATTAGCTAGGTCCAAGCTGAAGCCATCATCAATTGGGAATAAGCTTAAAAGGAGGCCTCTCAAGTCTTGGCGCTGGCCTGTTGTATCCATAATCCTTTGTGTTCATTCTCAAAAGCCTCTCATGCTCGTGGATGCTTCTTTCCACCACCTTTCACACATAATTATCACAACTTTTCATTTCTTTAATATAGTTCTTGGATGCAATCATGCAAATTAAGAAGAGTGACCATATGATATCTATTCAACTTTGGAAATTATATTTATATGTGAAAAGATCATATTCGGATATTCCACGTTACATGTTTGTTAGACTAACCTCGTCATGAAGATTTATATGTGTATGTACTAGAATCGATGGCCGACCTAAATGGCGAAAGAAAGATAATTAGTTGATGTAGTTTTATGAAAATATTCTCTTAGGTTCACATTAAAATATCGTTTTTAAACTTAAAATTTCTGTTTCAAAATTTGTATTTTAAAGATAGTTAGTTAGTATAAGAATTCAATTTTTATTCATACAGTTTAATGTATTGATTGATGAAAACATTATATTATACCACACGATCAACAAAATCTATTAATCATCTATAATATGTTTTTTTTCTAGTAATTATACAACGAAATAGCTTAATCTTCTACAAAGTATAGAGAAAAGCTGAAACAAAAACAGAAGAGAGAGTGAGAGAAATGAAACCTGCACAAGAGACAGAAAGAGTAGAAGCTAAAACAATCATGAAGATCATGAAACCAAGTTTCTTCACTATTAATGGTGACATACCCATAACTTCTTTAATTAGTAGCTCTCTCTTTCGAAGTTTTGTTTTTCTCTCAAGAAAATTTGAGTTCTCGATTAGGTATATGAAAGAATGAGAAGAAACATAAAGAGTTTTAGTTACATTATTATAATATCAGCTTGGTGTAGCATTTTGTGATATGATTAGACATTGCAACTTGAAAAATTAATGCAAAGTTTTATGTCGTATTATGCTTTTTTAAGATATTTAATAATGTAATTGTTCATGAAAATAGGGGATGAAGAAAAAAGTTGAAAAGAGACCACTTTCCTGTTGTTGGCCACCATAAGTCTAAAGAAGTTAGTGGTTTTGATTTTTAAATTATGTTATTTTTTGGTATAGAAAAAGTAGTTAATATTTCGATTAATTATCATTTAATCCCTAAATATCTAAGCAAATGTTTGTATAATATTATAGTAGAAAAACACTTATAGGAAAGATAACTTTTAAGATTGTAATTTGTTATTTGATAGTTCATCTTAAGTTTGATCGATCTCACCGGAACAAATGAACATGCCCTTATACAACCAACATACGTAGATCGAACTTTAAATTTCCCGAGGACATTGACTAAATATGTGCTAACATGAGCCAGAGCAATACATATATATCATTGGCCAACTCTTTAATGGACTTCCCTTGGCCTTACTCGTCCAAACTTTTGTGTGATATATAATCATAGGGATATAAATATTCACAGGACACATGTAAAGACACATGTAAACTATGTTGTACATGCCATAATTTTCAACACAACATTAAAGTTCAAATATAATTGACGAATATATTTTTTCAGTGGGCCAATGATTGCTTGTTTTTGTTACTATCTGAATATTTCATTACTTTTTGGATGATCAGTTTGAGTATTGTAAATTTTATATGATTAGTAATTTATGATAGAATTTTAAGGAAATATCAGAACAACTATCTATTTTAGCATAAGTGTAACATTCTGGCTCAGACTTCAAAAATTAGACCGGTTTTTTTGAACTATTTGGGCCGATTGTTAGTCTAAACGTTAAAGCCCATTAACTCAAAACCCTAAATCTAGTTCATAGAAATCTATTTATAAGATGACTACAGCTCTCTTTTACTCATTCCGCCTCCTAACCTTAGAAAGAGAGATAAAGAAATCCAATGAGAGAAAAGAGGAGGAGCAAATCGTTTCTTTTATGACGAGCTTTGATGAGTACTTTCGTAACCTATAGATCTAGATTTCTCCCAAATGATTTTTCAATCCATTTTCTGATAAAGTGTTATACTTTTTATTAATATTTTCTAGATTAATCTAGAAAAGGGATTGGAACTCATTTTGGGGGAAACCTAGATCTAGGGAATGGGAAAGTACTCACTACGGATAATTCACCATAGATAATTTGTTTGTCTCCCTCTATTTGCATTACAGGACTGGTCAGATCTGGTTTTTTTATTTCACTCACAATTCTTCTCCTTTTTCTCTTATGCACATGTTTGAATCCAAAATTTTGCAGGTACTAATAAACATTTTAGTTTTTTAATTCATCTTTTCCTTCGAATATATCTATATAAAATCTATTATTTCTAGAAAACTGCATTAATTTGAACTCAAGTGAATCAACAGATATATGTATCAATTTGTTTTACACACTTTGTCAACAAAATAAACCAAAACAATGCTCTATAAATTATATGAGGCATTCTGGAATTTGAGAAAAAAAACATTAAGAAAAACTTACATAAGTATTAAGTTAACGAATAAAACTTAAGAAATTCTTGTGCTTGAAAAATCTTGGAAAAGAGTCTCTTAAAAACTTTGTTGGGTTCTTAACAATGAATTTTTTATTGTTTAAAAAAATACAAATCAGAAGAACAGTCACTTACCATTCATAAGTTTAAGTAAAAAAGGTGAAAGTCAACAGTTGACTCTCAATTATTTTCGTTCATCGCTTAACATTACAAATCCAAAAAGGTTGAAAACCAAACCCACAAATCTCAGCTCTCGTAATTCAGTCTTACAGTTTGTTATATGTAAATAAACTTTCAAATTAAACTCAAATAAGAATTTGTATTCTATTTTTTTTTGAACTTTATGTAGTTAACTATTTTATGTCAAGCAAGTTTATAAAAGAGAGACAAAAATCTGTTTTTTTTAAAGAAATTTTTTTATGGCATCTGTTTGATTTACTAAATTATGATTTCAAACAATATAATTATGATCAATTTAAATTATATTTATGTTAATAAAAAATATAAAAATACTCATGTGGTGTAGCACAAGTTTTATCTAGTCATATTTAAATCCAAGCATTTGTAGAGAAGAAGTGTGGTTTATATCATTCATAAGGACAAACTTTGAGAGAGTGGTGGAGATAAAAAAGTGGATTCTTCGATAAACTGAATATATTTTAGCTTTAGGGTAAACCTTTATGAAAAAAAAACTATGAAATGTTAATTAGGATAACTCAATTAATTAATCTATGTGCTCAGTTTGACTTAATCTTCTAACTTTTCTTAAAGTAGAGACCTGCTCTAATAATTGGTCAATCCCTATGAAAACTACGTTTCACTTAGTCACTATATTACTTACTCACCGAAATAAAAATTATGTGTAAATTTTGTAGAAAACACACTTAATTCAAAAGTACGTCCAAAAATGTTACATGAAGTTTTTCCGTTTTAGAAACAATTCCAAAAGAAAATACCAAAAACTATTTCGTAAAATGAAAAAAAAATGCTTGTAAAAAGTAATAAAAACACAGTAAAATGTTGGGTGAAATCTAAACAGTAACTTTATTGAATGTGTTTTTAAAAATGTATGTACTATTCACATAAAATTATAACATATATACAAAGTTATGTACATTATAAATTATCTATAAAATTAAGATACATCATGGAATTATATTACATAAAATAAAATTACGTAATTTATTAGATATTTGTTCTTTCGGACTTGACAATTACCTAATTTTGTGGAAAAAGAACAAATGAACAGTTTGAAAGTAAATAAATAAGCACTTATTCAAAATTACTTGGAAAACCATTGTTACAGTTTTTAAGAGCCCTCTAATGCCCACAAGTCATGAGTCATCATCACTCGAGAGAGATTAAATAAGGGAACAGCCACATGATGTAGATGTATTGTTTTTAACGTTTTGAGTATTTACGCTGTTTTGGCGGTTTAAATCCACTTAAGGAGGGAGGCATCTAATGCATCCAACTCATTTAAGACCAAAACTATTAGTTAGATAGACTGTTCCACTTATAAATTCCACTGTTAGATCTTTCTCATCTATATTGTGACACAAGATGGAGACGGATGTTTGTTTTCGTTTGCAAGTGATATCAAGCAAATTTAACGGTGCGTTTAAGAGTTATACTCGATTTCGTGAAAACAAGTCATTTTGGTAAGCAATATCAGCAGTTACAGAGATGGGAAGCAGAGTGGTTCAGAGCTTCATGCTTGAATCCTTTGTTTCTTTCATTGTTAGTCATTGATTCTTTGAAATACCCTATTGCCCAATGTTTTAATTCACAAGTTTAATTGTCTATTACTCTATTTATTTGCGTTCTTATTTACATGAGCAAAAACCAAACAAAAACCATTTTTCTATATCTAAGAATGAGTCTCGCAAATCTTTAGAGTATCTTTACTCTTGTGGATCGATCCCGAACATACTACCTTCCAATTAAGTGTATCAGTGTAATACTCGAGCAATCAGTTTTTTTAAATGACTTGGAACAGAGGAATATTATTAGTGGCTGAGGCACAATGAGTTGTATTAATCGAAATATTTTGATTGGATGTTGATTTTAATGGTGTGTCAACTCCTGGCTACACCAAAATGTTGATATGTCAACGCGTAAGAGAAACATCTTTTACTTTTACTATATTGAATCTTGTAGTAAACTCGGTCCGCGATCAAAATTTAAACATTTAACTTCGTGTTGAGACTTATTTTTGATATGTTTCACATGTAGTTTTCAATGCAATTTATGGGCAAAATTAATTCTTATTTAGATATCAAACGTTTTGGATATAACGAGAAATCTTTAAAGAGATGATTATGGATTATTTTTTTCTTATCATGCCTCCTAACTTTAGAAAATTAAATAAATTGTATAAGAGAAACAGAGAAGAAACTATGCGTGAAAGAAAAATACCAGATCTGACTAGTCCTGTGAGATGATGCAAACTGAGGGAGACAAACAAACAAACTATCTTGAATTCTCTGTGGTGAGTATTTTCCCATTCCCTAGATCTAGGTTTCCCCAAACACATTCTCGCAACCCTTTTCTTGATTACTCTAGAAAATATTAATAAAAATATTACTCTTCATCTAAAAATGGATTGGGAAACATGTAGAAGAAATCTAGATCTATAGGTGAGGAAAGTACTCATCAAAGGTCGTCCATAAAGGAGAGGATTTGCTCCTTTCTCCTTTCTCTCATATGATTTCTCTATCTCTCTTTCTAAAGCCTGGAGACGGTTTGCTCTTTCCTCTTTTCTCTCATATGATTTCTCTATCTCTATTTCTAAGGTTAGGAGGCACAATGAGTAAAAGAAAACAGTAATTAGCTTATAAATAGATATTTTCAAGCTAGGTTTAGGGTTTTTTGCTAATGGGTTTTAACGTTTAGACTAACAATCGGCCCAAATAATTCAAACAAACTGGTCTAGTCTTTGGAGTATGGGCCAAAACGTTACACTTATGCTCGAATAAATAGTCGATCTCCTAAAAATCTATTCTAAATTACTAATTAGATATAATTTATCATACTCAAGCAGCTGATCTTCTAAATTACTATTCAGTTAAGGTTCACAATACTCAACCTGATCATCCAAAAAGTAATGAAATATTTAGATAGTAACAAAAACAAGTGAACGTGCCCACTGAAAAACATATTCGTCAATTATATTTGGAGTTTAACGTTGTGTTGAAAATTCAGGCATGTATAACATAGTTTACATATGACATGTGAATTTTTATACCCCTAAGATTATATATCACAAAAAATTTCGACAAGTAATAGATTATATATCACAAAAAATTTCGACAAGTAAGGTCATGAAGGGAGGTCCATTAAAGAATTGGCCAATGATATATATGTCTTGGAAAATTCACCTCATTGATCGATGTTACTCTATGTGTTTAATTTGATTGATTACGATGATGATCATTGATTGATTCATGATGTTTGTTTGGCATTTGATTCATGATTCAGTATACTCATCAGTCATCATTTAAGATGTGTTTAATACTAGGTTTGACCTATACAATTATATAATTTGAATGAATTATAGGCCAACAATTAGCATAATTTGTTTAGCAACAAACATTTGTAGTGATTATAATTCACCAACTCAACCTTACATTATCTCCTACTGGCTCGAGAGATATTACACGACAACACCCAAGGTAAGCACTCTAAATATTGCAAGTTATTGTTACTTGTTAAAGAAATAAATAAAAATAAACTTCTATTTACACAAAACCGTACGTTGCGGAGGATTTAGTTTCATTAATATGCAATTTATATAATCTCATTTTGGGAGAGAAACACAAAAACACTCACTTGACTTCTCATCTTATATTGTCATGGGACATGTTACCATTGTTCGTTGATATAGCTAGAACATACAAAACTGAAAGAAAAAAATAACAAAAATATATTTAGTGACATAGACTAAGAATTTTGGAAATTAATTAAGCATATAAAATGATTTGTCTCACCAGTCTCTTCTTCTTCTTCTTTTTCTTCTCAATATATGAAAGTATCCCTTTCTGATTAGTGATCGTTTCATCCAAAGCCTAAGGCAGAAACATAATAAAGCACCAAATTATTACTACATATTCTTGTAATTTGATTGATGAGCTAGGTTATATAGTATATGATCTTACCTTTTTGGTTTCAGATAACTCATGCTCAAGTACTTGAACCCGGTTAAGCGCAGCTTGAAGTTTATCCTCTTTCTCTAAAACATCATTAGCTGATTTCGAGTCAAGGGTCTTGTACTTTTCTTCAAGATCGGCCATACGTTTAACCATACTTAGGTATTCAGAGTTTGAGACTGGTGGTGCTGGAGATTGATCTTCGTTTCTTTTAGATGTTTTCGATTCCTCGTAGTGAACTGAGTTGCCGAATAAAGCAGCGTCTGTGAGTTTCCTTGGAACGTCTTTTGATAGACGAAGCATTGCAACAATACCCATCACAAAAGCGATAACCCCTCCCACAAGAAAGCTATCATCTTTGTTTTGTTGCCCCTTTCCTACGTAACAGTGTATTAAGGGTAAACACATTTGATAGAGCAAGGAATAAATCTTCAGACTTGAGGATTAGTGTGTGAGTAGATATATACCTTTTCTTATGGGTTTTAAATGAGGTTTTGGAGGTAAAGACAGAGCCATGAACTTGTCGACTGTCGCAATCTGTTTCTGATCAGACACCCTCTCTTCGATTGTTTTCATCTTGTTTCTTTCTAGAGGCTAAGAATGTGATGTACAGAAGAGTCTTAGGTCCATACTTTATGAGAATACTAAGTTTGATAAAAGAAAAGAAATCGCGCAAAGGCTTTTGCATTGTTGGTAAATTTATTAGCTTACTTCAAAGACCATTGATATTGATGTTCCTTCTACTACAGGCTTGTCTTCGTCCTCTGAAATAGTGGAGAACCTGGCTTCGGGGATTGTCTTAGACATCTGCTTTTCATAAGAACACCACTTGTGTTTGGTAAGAAATTCAAAACAAGTTTAATAGAAGCTCAAAAGTTAACCTTAAGAAGCTCGTGATCATTCCACGGGCCTTTATCAGAACGCATACAGCCTCCTTTGCCTTCACAAGTACAACGGCCCCCAAAGAAATGTGGCAACTCGCTAACACATTAAAGTAGATTACAAAAATTTTTGAGCAATAAGTATAGGAGGTCTAGTAAATGAGTTAAAGACTAGTAATCTTACCTAGCGTCAATGGCTTCAAGTAATTTGCTCTGGTATTTGTTACCAAGAACATGAATCTTTGATGTCGTCTTCGGATCAAGAAAAGATTTAACAGGCCCCCACAAGAGCCGGAATCCAGGACCCGCATTGATGATAAACATTCTGTGAAGAGTCTACACAGAGAGAAACAAAACTAATTTACAACTTTGTTAACACTTTAAGATGGATAAGCTGTTTGTGAATAGCTACCTCAGGATAATTTTCGTTATCGATCTTGAGAAGGCGTTGAAGAAGCTCTCTCGCGGATTTGTTGAAGTTCTTAAGCCCCTAATGTTTCAAAATGCAACATGATTTTAGATATATGTTCTTGATCGATAATCTTTCGCATTTATGCCTTTTTCGGAACAAAGAAAGGAGATATGAAAATGTAACAAACCACTCCTTGCACATCAAAAATAGTTGTGCTTTGATCAATGTGCTTCTTGGCTGCGGCTGAGCAAGAAGGGAACTTGATCTTGAACATCTTCTCAAACTCTTTCACATGGTATTTCTCATACCGGTCCATCGTAGTCACTTGCAAAAGTTTGTTCGCATCAATTTGGCCTAATCTTTCAATGTAAACCGGCCTACCTTCTTTGTCCACTCCATGATAGCCTTGAGGATAATGCTTGAGTACTTCATCGATCTCTTCAAACTCAAAATCCTTCATTTTTAGACAAAACAAAAGACTTCTCAGTTTTCAAAAGTATTTATATTTACTAGTTATGGGATGTTCCAAGACTTTGGGAAAATAAAGACTTACCTCAATGATCGTGTCGGCACCAAAATCCTTCCTCCATTGAAGCATGTCACTCCACATTTGCTTCGCTTTCTCGACGTCAAATTTTCTCGCCCTTAAGTATCTACGTAGATTAAAAAACATCATAAGATCGTAAATGTCAAAACATATTGTGTTAGTGTCACTATTCACAATTTTTACATTATGCTAAAAATCTTAGATTCACTATTCAAAATGTCAAACCATATTGTGTTAGCTTGTTTTTGTTAAATTATTGACTTTGAATCCATAAGTTGACTTCATGGGCCAACATATTACATTTGCTTTCATTACACATCACATTATTTGTCCTAATTGGAATATAAATAACTAAGGAGAAAAATGAATATAGCCTTACCTAAGCATCATGTGAAGATCGTCGTGTTTGGAGGGCAAAAGGTCATCGTAAGCAAGAACTTCACGGAACGCGTCAAGAGACTGACGATCCTCAGCGTTGATATCGTCTACGGACACGATTCTGCTGCTGCTCCTCCGAGTCTTCTTCTTGAATGAGTTCTTGAATCTGGTTGATGCACTTATCGCTCTCTTTTTAAGCGAGCTCATCTTCACTATCTTCCTCTCATCTTCTATACTCTCCATATCTAAACCACACATGATTGCTAATTTTGTATCAACATCTAGACAGGATGAAAAAAAACATTATATCTATGGATAAGGCAAATGCATTGACTTCTAACCTTGTTTGGTGTTGTCAGCCATGGTTTTGAAGAAACACCTACAAGACAGATCAAGATTGTTCCAAATAAGTATTGGCCAGATTATTCATATACACTATTAAGTAATGAAACGCTGAATCGCGCGATGAAGTTCATCATATTGATCCAGGAGAAGAGTAGCTAGATGGTGACAGATCAAGAAAAAGAGAATCCAAAATCAAGATTTAGAAAAAGAGAAGCAAAGAGAGTTTCCTTTTCTTGTTCTTACCTTATTGTTGATGTGTGCTTGAGAAGGGAGGTTGGGAGATGGTAATGGTGAGGATCATCTGAAACTAATTAAGACATGTAGAAAAGTACTTGACATGTTCATTGTAACAAGCTATTGATAAAGTCTAAAATTTTCTTTTGTTTTTACAATTGGGTTGTTCTTAATATTTTTTTGAAATGGACATGTGTTATATATAATATTAAAATTTATGGAAATCGAATCATATCTAGACCAATCAATGCTATAAATAATTGTAAAGTGTATGACGCCAATTTGGACTAAGTGCAAACCCACCACTTACATGATTAATCTTACTTTGCAACAACCCAATTACCAAAATTACATAGTAAGAAGGGGCAAAAATATATGAGATCCAACATCTGACTCGATCTATCTAAAACCTCGAGTATTCAGAGCTCTCTCATCCTGTCATCCATATCCATTATTATTATTATTATTTTCAACATTGAGCCATAACTGGCCGGCCAATTAGCCTAATCACCTACAAATATGTTGGAACGGGTCTTGATATTTGGTGTGATAGTGTCTTTCCACCGGTGAACTTATCATTTACCACTAGATTAAGTTCACTTCACCATATCCAGTAAATTTAAAGGTTAGGACTTCGGACACTTGAATCCGATACCGATTTGGATCCGGGTTTGTATATAATTTTTTTTAATACTTTATATAGTTTAGTAAGTATTATTAAAGCAAATTTATATATATATATACAAAATGTTGGTGAATCTTTTCTGAATAAACATAATAAATATGTCTCATTAAACTAATTTAAAATATTTGTATGAAATTTTCTATAGATTTTTCTTTTGTCAAATATCTATTACATTTTTATTCTTTTTTCTTTTTGCTTTAATTTTTTTTTAGTTTAAATATATTAAACCATTTTTGCAGATTTTAATACATGCAGATGTTGACAGATCCGAGTCTGAATAATTACTTAATATATCCGGATTTGGATATCCCAAAATTAATTTAAGGTATTTTAATCCGTAACCACTCTTATCATATTTGGCTCGTCTCAACATTTCACTTTTTGTTTTTAGATTACTAAGACTAAAAAACTCATTTAGTAGAATTTCGAGTCAAATACATAATTGTTGTATAAATTATGGAAAATTAATCACATTGTCGAAATAAAATGTAAAATTGTATCTAACTAAAGAACGTTTTAGCAATGATGGCATTTGTTTTGAATTATATATTAAACAAAATTAGAAAGTCAGTAATTGGCTGACATTATTACATAATAGTGCTCTAACACACCAGTATATGTTTTTTTGTCGAACTAGCGTTAGTTAATTTAATTTCTCCATGATGCCTTACTTTTCTTAACCGACCGGTTAAGGAATACCGAGTCGAACCGCAATGATTCGATCGGTTCTGTTTCTTTTAGACACGTCTACATGGGAGCGTTTTACGAATCAGCGTTTCTCTCCCGCTTATCCTCTGTTCCTGTCCTTTTCAACCAAAACCCCAAAACAAAACAAAAAGGTACATACTTTACCTACTTTATCCTGATTTCGTCTTTTCTCCTCTGATTTCGATAAATCTCTTCTGGGTATTTGCCCAATCCTTCAAAGATTCTTCCTTTCACCTTTAAATCGGTCAGTACTGATCTCATCTTCATACCCTTTTACTTACATCCACCCCCGTCATTGAAAATTTCGATTCTTTTTGAATTTGTTCGGATAGTTTCAATTTCGTATGAATCTGATTCTCTTTGTTGTTATGATTGTCTCAGTCTCTAAGGCAGATTTGTAATATTTTTCACAATCCATCAACATTATCATCATCATCGATTGCAAATTTCATCTCTAAAGTTTCGATTTCGACCATGGAAACAGCGACTTTAGATGGTAATGACACTACTATGGCTGTTCCAGAGCCTCAAAGGACTTACCAAGTTGTGGTTGCTGCGACTAAAGAAATGGGTATTGGTAAAGATGGGAACTTGCCATGGAATTTGCCTACGGATCTCAAGTTCTTCAAGGATGTTACTTTGACAACCTCTGATTCTTCTAAGAAAAATGCTGTTGTGATGGGTAGAAAGACTTGGGAGTCTATTCCTATTAAGCATAGGCCGCTCTCGGGTCGCCTTAATGTGGTTTTAACTCGTTCTGGTGGGTTTGATATAGCCAATACTGAGAATGTTGTCACTTGTAGTAGTGTAGATTCTGCTCTTGATTTGTTAGCTTTGCCTCCGTATTGTTTGTCTATTGAGAGGGTGTTTGTTATAGGAGGTGGTGACATATTGAGGTAATGTGTTCATGTCTCTGTCTCATCCTTTTGCTGGATTTGTCAGTCTTTTTGTTGCAACTAACTGTTGATTTGGTTGTTTATGTTTAGGGAAGCATTGAACAGGCCTAGTTGTGATGCTATCCATTTAACTGAGATTGATACAAGTATTGAATGTGATACGTTTATACCTGCGATTGACACATCTGTTTATCAGCCTTGGTATTCGTCTTTTCCCATAACTGAAAATGGACTTCGGTTTTGCTTCACGACTTTTGTTCGTGTAAGAAGTTCTGCTGATGAATCCTCTGATGAAAGCAATGGGTTACAGTCTCTTCAGTTTGATGGGAAGAAGTTTTCATTTCTTCCTAAGATGGTTTTTGATCAGCATGAGGAGTTTCTGTACTTGAATATGGTTGAAGATATCATCTCCAATGGAAACATAAAGAATGATAGGACCGGGACTGGTACACTATCAAAATTTGGTTGCCAGGTGATGTAAAACCCTTTCTATGTGTTCAATTTTTCTGGTTGGTTATTAAGATTAAATGATCTCACATTTCCTTGGAAACACAGATGAAATTCAATTTACGCAGAAGTTTTCCGCTTTTGACAACAAAAGTATGCTCACTTTTTCCTTAACACTCCACATTTATTCGCATATTCTTCTGTCGTATCTGGTGACAGTTGCATATCTACACTATCTCATACTCAAACTCACCCAATCTGTTTGTATTGTGTAGAGAGTTTTCTGGAGAGGTGTTGTTGAGGAACTTCTATGGTTTATAAGCGGGTCAACCAGTGCAAAGGTAAAAAAGAGATATTCTTTTAGCATGATTATGCCAGTCTGTCTCTTCTGTGCTCTAAGGTTATGCAAATGAATTAGGTAGTTCTTTGATAGGCTTTATACATGGGCAGGTCCTTCAGGAAAAAGGTATCCATATATGGGATGGGAATGCTTCAAGAGAGTATCTTGATGGGTAATAATTTGAACCGGCATTCTCCTTTGAATAAATAAAAATTTGATGTTGATGGCCATCTCTCTTATTTATCCACTGTAATTTCAGTATCGGCCTGAAAGATAGAGAGGAAGGCGACCTTGGACCTGTATACGGATTTCAATGGAGACACTTTGGTGCCAAGTCAGTAACATTTCTATTCGTATTTTGGCTTTTTTTCCATTTTAGTTGGATTTCTTTTGGTGAAACTCTTGTTTTACAGGTACACAGATATGCATGCTGATTATACTGGTCAAGGATTTGATCAACTCTTGGATGTAATTGACAAAATCAAGAACAATCCTGATGATCGGCGTATCATAATGTCAGCTTGGAATCCTTCTGATCTCAAGTTGATGGCACTTCCTCCATGCCATATGTTTGCACAGGTAATTCGACTTTGTTTTCTAACACATTTAATTTCCTTACAATGAGTTTGAGTTTGGATTTGTTTTCTTACAGTGAGTTTGATATTTTACTACTCTTTTCTTTGCAGTTCTATGTGGCAGAAGGGGAACTCTCGTGTCAAATGTATCAACGTTCAGCAGACATGGGCCTTGGTGTGCCGTTTAACATTGCTTCCTACTCTCTTCTTACTTGCATGCTTGCTCATGTGTGCAATCTCGTTCCTGGTGATTTTATCCATGTTATAGGGGATGCTCATGTGTACAGAAATCATGTGAGGCCTCTGCAGGAGCAACTTCTGAATCCACCAAAACCTTTTCCAGTAAGTATATAGCTAGCAATGTTCATCACATAGGAATGTATTTTCATCTATCCTTACTGTGTTTCTGTTTTCCGCTGTGACTTCACTACTGCAGGTTTTGAAAATAAACCCAGAGAAGAAACAAATCGATTCTTTTGTGGCTGCTGACTTTGACCTCACAGGCTATGATCCTCACAAGAAGATAGAGATGAAAATGGCGGTCTAGTGCTCATCTCTTACTGGGATACAACCAAAATGAAACTACAAATTTATTGCGACGATTACAACGACATAGGGCTCTTCTTTTCTTCTCGACTATGGAGGATGTAAAATTTAAGATTGAATCAGCTGAGTGACCCTCAATGTCTGGACTCAAAGACCCTTTTGTGGGTGATATAATTTAGCAGTTAAAAAATGTTGGAATCCTTTAGTTCCACGGGGTTCTAAAGTGATTTAGGCTTATACTTCAGAACCATACTCTTTTTTCTTGATTTGAGTTTCATGTTTGAACTATTATTGAATGAGACTTGGTTTGATTTGGTCAACTGATAGATTGGAATTTATGAGACTTGGTTAGTGTTCTTTGTTTTCTTAGTTAACAATATGGAATCTACCAAGTGATGATACAGTGATAATACTTGTACAATCTTAAGGCCATTTACCAAAAACGTGTAGATTTTGCAAAGTAACCAACTTTTGTGTGATGCTGAAATGAAGAGCCAAAAACAGTAAGCACTTGTGGCCAGTGTAAACCTCTCTTATCTTCTATTTTGTTTTTCTCTATATGTGTGTGTGTGTCCACATTTTTGTTTCCATTTTCCTTTTCAGACTGTAACCTTATTAATATTAACCCTTAGAGCTGGTTGGTTCCAACAAGATCAAGCAAGACCTAAACAGAGATATCAGATTATGGCTAAGGATATGGTGACTCTTGCTTTAATTTTCACAATTGTTTTCAGTGTTCTATCTCCTGCAATAGGTACCATTTTTCTTATATTAATTTCTTATTCCTATGTATTTTCATATATTGATGGTGATAAAGCATATATTTAAACTAGACTTAGCTTGCAAAAGATCGGAATTGAATAAAAACATTAGATAAAGATATTCACAATATGTAGCACAAAACATAAGATGTACTATATTGTTTGATATCTATAATTATATATCATTGCTCTATAACATTAACATTACAATTGAGTAGATGTAACCAAAGCTGAGATAGTCGAAAAGCGCGACCTGATGCCTCTTACAGAGGATAAAAATGTTTTGGCTACTAATGAGGCACCATCTAGACGATATGGACCGTTCATCCAGCAGCCAATCTTCTCAATTCAAGGTAACTAGAGCTTAACGACAACGAGTGCAACCGAAAACATCTTATTTATTGAGAGTACTTGTCTAACAAAGTATTCACAATTTTGTTCTTTTCTTTTATGGGTTTAAGATGCCTCAGAAGAAGTGTCGTTGGGGACTTTATGCAGCTATAAACACTATGTTGATTCATGTGACAAATGCGATAGTGAATGTAAGATGTTGTCATTCACATATGGTCAATGTGAGGGACTTTGGCCATTCCGTGAATGCTACTGTTATATTACTTGTGGAGTTGTGGGTAGATGAAGGCCGCTTGTAGATGAAGGTCATCGCCATATTTTTCAATTAGTTATGTATGTTTGTATGTATATCTATGTATTTTTTAGTCACTACAATGGATAGTTACCAATACCATAAACTTAGCAATTTGACCAAATAACCACTTCTATGAGTACAAGTATTATCTAGAAATCAAGCAAATAGGTCCGACCAAAAAATCAAGCAAATCGGAATATTCAAACTAAAAGGATAAAGTCTAATGGCTTTAAATGTGATCGAACGATACAAAAACAAATTTCTTTCATTATAGAAATTCTCAGTGGTTCGCGAACTTAAATACCGAAAAGGCGAAAACATACTTGGTTGCGATCATTAGAAGAAAACTAAAATTTTACAAAAAAAGACAAATATTCACGTATCGGACCAACATTATTAAGGCTATCTTACACCTAAGATTTACAAAGAAAGGTATCTTATATAAGATCAGAATTCGGGTAATTAATGATATAATGATAACACTACTATAAAGTCTGTTTAAAAAATCTCCGCCTAGGTCTGATTACGCCCTGTGTAATCGCTAAGCCCACCCTATCCGCTTCGATTACTGACTAATCCCCACTTAAATTTTTTTGTCGGTTATGAAACATTTATATTGAGAATTTGTGATGTTTTGCAATAATTTATGTTCAAAATCTTAATGAAAAATATAAATCTTTAAAATTATGATTTTGATATATTTTCTACATTTTTGAAACCAATATTATAGTTTTGTATGTTATACTGTGTTTTTTCATCACCAGAAGTCGAACTAAACATATAATTAACACCATATATTTATTATTTTTATTTATTTAATAAAATAACCCTAAAACTATTCCCGATTAATCCTCGTTTAATCTTCGATTTTTTTGCTGGACGCTAGGCCCACCTCGGCCACCCGACTAACGCCTAACAATTTTTAAAACAAGGCTATAAACTATTATGCAATATGTTTTTTTTTTTTGGTTTTAAGGTTGTCTTCATACATAAATAATCTTTGAATATACACGTAACACGTAATGGTTTCGTATTCGCTATGCTTGACTTTATAGTTGTTGATGATACAAGACTTTACAAGATTGAGAATTCTCTAAATTTATATTAAAAAAAAAGGTATGCTACGATAATTATAGCTCCGATCCTTAGCCTATGAAGTAAATAAAGGTCATATAACTAAAAGACAAAACAAATGTGTGGATAATATAATGCAAAGTAACTAACTCTTGTGTGATGCAGAAATTAAGAGCTATAACAACGGAAGCTACACTATACACTTGTAGCATTTGTGTTACTCTCTTATCTTCTTCTTTGTTCTTTTTCTATATGTGTCACCACATTATTCTTTCAGAGTAACCTTATAAATAACCCCCTGCTAGAGCTGGTTGGTTTCAACAAGAACAAGCAAGAGAAGACCTAAACATAGATATGGCTAAGGCAATGGTGACGCTCGCTTTCATTTACGCAATTGTTTTCAGTGTTTTCTCTCTAACCATAGGTACCACCATATCATACTTACTTAACTTAGAAACGTAATTCTTGTTTCTTGACTTATGATATATGTTGTCATTAACGATGATATAGATATTCACAATATGTAGCACAAAACTATATATATAAGATACACGTTATTATTTCAATAATTGTTATTGTGTTCTAAAATTCACTATACATTTGGGTGCATGTAATAAAAGCTGAGATAGTGGAGAAGGGCAACCTTAATCCTCTTCCGGATGGTGAGATTGTTTTGGCTACCTATGAGGTTGAGCAGGCAGCACCTAGACGATTTGGTCCGTGGATCCGGCAGCCCATTCTTTCGATAAGAGGTAACTAGAGCTTTGGGCAATGTGTGCGCCAAATATGTGATATCTCATATATTGTCCCGAATCTTGTGCGCTAAAACGACGTCGTTTTGTCATTAACGGAGTAGTTAACGGTTGTTAGTTGCTCCGTCGTCATATTTTTTTTGCTTGGTCAACGAAACTCAATGTTTAAAAAACAGAGTCAACCAAGGCTAAATGGCTTACAACAAAGTTCATATTTAAAATGGCCTGAATTTGAAAGTTCATAATTTTTTTTAACATTTTCCGAGTGTAAAATACCTAACCATGCACTTCTCTTCTTTTTTTTTATGGATTTTAGATCCCCCAGGGTATTGCATTAGTGAGAACGATGGTATATCATGTGCAAATTGCAATGAGTACTGCACTTTCCCTCGTGGTTCTGGCGGTTATGGTCAGTGCGAGTGGAGAATATGGACCCGTGTGTGCACCTGTCATTATAGGTGTGTGCGTGCCTAAAGGCCGTAAGGATATGGTCATCATCATATTTATCAAAAACAATTATGTATGTTTGTATTTTGTGTATGTGTGCGTAAGTTATGTATGCTTGTTTGTGCATGTGTTTGTATTATTAAGGAAAGGGTATCATCGTATTTATCAGAAACAATTATGTATGTTTGTATTTTGTGTATGTGTGCGTAAGTTATGTATGCTTGTTTATGCATGTGTTTGTATTATTAAGGAAAGCGTATCATCGTACCAGCTATGATTACTCAAATCTCATATATTCCTCTGATATATATTTTAATTATATTATTCTTTGTAATATCTTTAATTATACCCTTTCATTATGTTATATGCTTATATAAGTTGTATTATTCCATTCAATAATACAATAACAATACATTTCTACATGGTATCCGAACATGTTTTGTTCTTGCTCTCGAGTTTTGATCTAACAATCAAATTCGTTTTTTTTTTTTTTCTGTTAAGCCAAGTGTTTCCACTATCTAAGTGCATCATGAACCTCTAGAAAAAATTCATACTAATTTCTCTCTGCGTTATTTCCTTCCATTTTTCTTTTTGTTTCCTTCACTATTTTCTACAAAACTATTATTTAAAAGAAATTGGTAGGAAATATTCCTACCACTTTCTGACACATTTTCTCGTAGTTAAATGCTCTTCCTTTTTCCTACTCCTCCTACCCCTTTCCGTTTTCGTCATAAATGCGAAGTTTTTCTGTAGGAAAGTCTTCCTACCATTTATTTTGTAGTGTCTACATGTAAGCTATCGAGCTCCTTTCTATTAAAGTATATCATTTTAGACCTTAATCTAAGCTAAATGCTTCTTCTTTTTATTTTATTTTTAATGCCAAAAGTGCTTCCATTTTATTGGAGTTTACTTAATAATTATTAAGATTGTATAACGGTATTGTTTTGAAAACGATTTAACCCATGTTTAAGTACAAATTAAAGATAATTTAATTTTTAGTAATATCGATTCAAACTCGTGCCATCATACTACCAGCCGATATTATTTTAAATTATTAATATGTTTAAATATTTATAATTCAGACTTTTAGGAGAATGTAGTAAAGGAATGCTTTAGCGATTTTTATTGATTAATCGATGTTTCAATATTTTCAATTAGAAATTAATGCCAGTGACATGATAATGTAAATATGTTGAAACTCCAAATGTGTTTTTTAAATACTGTACGTAAGACCATCTCCAACAACAATTTTATTAGTGGAGTTGTTAACAATTTTTTTTATTATTAAATAATGATTAAAGTGAAGTTAAGAACTTGTTAGGATTAATTAAATTTTTGGTTGTCCATGAGTTCACCAAAATAAAATATTTTTTATTTTGGATAAATAATAGGTTTTAAGTTTTAAGTAATATAAATTTTAAAAACAATTTTAAAATTAATTGGTACAAAAGAAATTTTATTAAAATTAAAAATTAAAACTGCATTACATAAAAGAGAAATTGATACCAATAACCTTTTTATGATACCCTCTTTTAAAAATACCCTCTTTTTTTTATCATTTTCATTTTTGCCCTCTCTTAATTTTTAGTGGCTATTTTACCCCTATTTGAAAGAATATTCTTTCACAAAGGAAGGAATATTCCTTCCAAAAATTTCCCTCCCAAAAATTTCCCGCCAAAAACTTTCCCGCCAAAAAAGTTTCCGAGAAAAAATTTTCCCGCCACAAATTTTTCCGAGAAAATTTTCCCGCCAAAAAATTTCCGCAAAAATTTTCCCGCAAAAAAAATATTTTTTCAAAATTTTCCCGCCAAATTTTTTTAAAGGGTTTACAAGATTTTTTAAAGGGTCTTTTAAAGGGTTTACAAGGGTTTTTAAAGGGATTTACAAGAGTTTTTAAATGGTTTTTAAAAGATTTGTAATGGTTTTTAAAGAGTTTTAGAAGCCTACAAAGGTTTTTAAATGGTTTTTAAATGATTTACAATGGTTTTAAAAGTTTTTATAAGTTTATAACAGTTTTAAAAGGATTTACAAAAATTTTTAAAGGATTTTAAAAATTTACAAGGATTTTTAAAGGTTTTTTAAAAGGATTTACAAGTGTTTTTAAACGGATTTAAAAGTATATTTAAAGGCATACAAAGATTTAAAAATAGTTTTAAAGGATTTACAAGAAGTTTTAAAGGGTTTTAGAAGTTTACAAAGGTTTTTGAAGGGTTTACAAAAGTTTTTAAAGGTATTATAAGTTCTTTAAAATGGGTTTTAAGGATTTACAAGGGTTTTTAACGGATTTTAGAAGTTTACAAATTTTTTTATTAAATGATTTATCACGGTTATAAGTGGTTTAAAGGGATTTACAAGTGCTATAAATGTTATAAAATGATTTACAATGGTTTTAAAAGGTTTACTCAAGTTTTGAAAGGTTTTCGATGATTTTTAAAAGATTTACAAGGGTTTTTAAAGGATTTTTTAAGGGATTTATAAATATTTACAAGGTTTTTTTAAGAAATTGCGGAAAAATTTTGGCTGAAAATTTTTGTCGGAAATTTTTTGGCGGGAAATTGTTTTTGGCGGGAAAATTTTTTGTCGGAATTTTTTGGTGGGAAAATTTTTGCCGAAAATTTTTGGCGGGAAAATTTGGCGGAAAATTTTTCGGAAGGAATATTCTTTTTGTTGGAAAAAATATTCATTTTTTCATCATGGGTTATAATAAAGTAGGGTAATTTAGTCATTTTATACATTGAAGAGGATATTTTTGAAAATGAATACCTAGAGAGGGTACTTGTAGAAAAGAGTATCATAATAAAGGTTAGTTGTGCAAATCTGCCTGCATAAAATTGAAAACATACAAAATATAGAACTGACTTTATAAAACGTTTACAACGGTCGGTTTAGTTGGAATTAACATTTTTGACCCACTTGCTTATAAATCTTAACTATAACGGTAAAATCTCAGTTTATTACTGAAATTATTGGGCTTTCCTGTTATTGGGCTTTTCCTTTTCTTTTTGCAAATTAGAATTTTAAATTTCCTTTTCTTATAATACAAAAATACGAAAGATGAAACTAATGTCGATCGATATAACGGAAAAGATGAAACTCTGCTCTCCTCCTTTGGCTTTCTTCTCCATCATCCCTGTGACGCATCTTTCGATCATATCATCTCTAAATTCGAAGGTATGAATCTCTTCTACATACGATTCTTCAGTTTTGTTTTTGTTCTTCTAAATTCCCATTATTCGAAGGAATTTTAGGGATTTGGGTGTTGATATTTTAGGGATTTCTTGGGAATTCAACTTGATGATTGCTACGGTTTAATCACAAGGTATGATCCTAACTTCTTTCTCATCTTAATCTTACTCGTATGTGTTAGGGTTTTGGCTTTAGTAATCCAATGTTAAAAGGTGCAATCTTCTTCTTTTTTTCTTCAGTAGAATTTTTGCTTAATTGCTAGTTTCCTTGGTTACTTGCTTCTGTGATTCGTTGTTTGTTCTTCATTGATTCTTTGAATGCTTGTTTTGACTCTTGTGATTCGTTGTTTCTTCTTGCTTCCTTAGTTCTGTGCCTTTTAATTTTGTTGTTTACGTTTTCTTTGCTTTCTTATTTGATTTCCTTGTTACTTGCTTCTGTGATTCGTTGTTTCTTTGCTTGCTTGCTTCTTTAGGTTCATTCTTCCTTAGTTATATGTCTCTTAATTTGCTGTTTACTTTTTGTTTGCTTGCTTGCTTCTTTACATTCTTGCTTTGTTACTTGTTTCCTTTGTTTGTGTGTTTGTGTTTGTGTAGTTATAAGTGTGTAGTGTGTTTGTGCAGTTATAAGTGTGTTTGTGCAGTTATAAGTGTGTTTGTGCAGTTATATGTGTGATTGTGTTTGTGTAGTTATAAGTGTGTTTGTGCAGTTATAAGTGTGTTTGTGCAGTTATATGTGTGTTTGTGTTTGTGTAGTTATATGTGTGTTTGTGTAGTTATAAGTGTGTTTGTGTTTGTGTAGTTATATGTGTGTTTGTGTAGTTATATGTGTGTTTGTGTTTGTGTAGCTATATGTGTGTTTGTGCAGCTATATGTGTGTTTGTGTTTGTGTTTGTGTAATTCCTTGGTTCCTTCTGTGCTTACTTCCTTACTTGCTTATTTGATTTTCTTGTATGCATCCTTAGATGATTTGATTCCTTTTTTTTCTCCTTGATTCTTTACTAGCTTTACTTACACACTTATTCATTAATAACTTTGTAGTTTCATTTCTCAAAATGTAATCAAAACTTGTAGGTTTCTTGTTTCCTCATAATTGGGGTCATCTATCTATTGTTGATTAATCTAACACTTTTATTAGTTAAATACCAGTTGAGCAACAAATTGCAGATACCAAACTTGATGTGCTAGTCCTATAGCCAACAAGGTTGTACCAAACCAGAATAGATCTTCCCATCCATGGTCATGACTGTCCTAAACAATATAAAGGTATTTCCATCTTAACATGTCTTGAAAAATTTATCCAGTCAGATCAACCAAACCAAACAGGACAAAGGTTTATAATACTTTCTTTTGTTGTAAATCACACACATGGAATTGAACATTTTATTTTTGCTTCTCAGGTCTACAAGAGTGTAAATATCAGGTCATGTTCTTTCTCAAACTGGACTAAGGTTTGTAATAATAAATTATATGGTAATTTAACACACTGCTTCTCCTAACTTGTATATTTAGCAGTTATGGATAGTTGTAAAGCCAGAAGGTTCATGGGGTCGGGTCTTTGTGCAGTCTGGTGTGTCACTTAGCTTTCTTCTTATGTCGTCAATGCAATTTGCTATCACGTTCTTAGGCTAGTCCTCGAACTGTAAGTATCTGACCTTCTGTACTTCCAGGATATATTTTCACTACATTATGTCTGAGCATGTCGACCTTTTTATTACATGGAAAAGGTTACATTGCAACCCCCAGAGCCTCCATACTACTCTGAAACCGTTCTTTACGTTTTTTCTTATTCTCTTACTTATTCAATTTGCAGATAAAGTACCTCTCGAAAGGGGACACCATTGTTGACTATGCATGCTTTTGTGATTCACATGGAAATCGAAAGCAAGATAGTAGCAGCAAAGGTAATTTTCCCATTCCATGATATCTTTGAAATACATACAACGACTAGACAAGAATTTAAGGACATTTGATGGCATGAATTGCAGGTAAATGGTTATCTTGTTTCTCCAACTCACGTTCTTGAGAATGTTGATGTCGTGGAGACTGTCACCTACAGCATTTTGTACCTTTTCTCTCGTGCATTTTTTCTCATTTCTCGTTTTCTTTTTTTCCTACGTACGGAAATTATGTTTAGCTTCATCAGCTCTACCGAGGTTTCACGAGCTTTCATGTTTCTTCTTATTGTTACAGCCCCTCTCAACTAAACAGTGCTTGAAACATGCCAAAACAAGGAGTGCGAGGCAGAAGATTATGAGGGTATATTATTGGTATTCACTTACTTTATGCTTATTGGCTCAGTTTTACTAATTCTTCATGTCTCTCCTCTTGTTCAAGTCATGTCTTTCCTCTTGATAGTGATGCAGAAGATTCAAGAAAGAGCTTACAATGGAGGGAGAAAATCCTCGTCAATGTCAAGCTGTTCCCAGTCACAAGACAAAATCAGATATACATCACAAGAAAAAGGCAGAGATATTACAACACCCACTTCTCAAAATGGAAGCACTTGGTCCCAAAGGTGAATTGAAAACACAAAAAAAATGCAATAGAAACTCGAGTTTAGATGAGTCAAAGTTCCTCTTACCAGGAGATGGAATTGCCAAGAGTTTTCCTGCTAACATTCCTGCTTATAGAAAAGTGTGACAGTTGGCGAGACAGTAAAAGCTCGAAGGTCACTCCATCAAATGGTTCTGCATAGTATCCATGGATCGCAGAGGTATGTTATCCTTGATTTCCTGTAGTCGTGATTGATGATTTTAATAACTCGAAAGTAAAACCAGAATATATTTTTGGCACATTTTGGCAGGCATATTCTCAAAGGTTACAACAGTCCTTGCAGCTGAAAGCATCACAGTATGTTCTTGTTTGGTAGCCTTGATATTAACTTACCTCTGAACATATTATAGTTTCCGACGGCTCATCTCACAAATCTTATGGTTTATTCCATGCCGCGATTGGCCGAGGAAGAGGATTAGCAGTAATGTTTGCTTCAAATATAAGCAAACATTGAAAGCTTGGTAATATTTCCTAAAGTTCTAAACTCTCGTTCTGCACTTTTTATAGGATCTTCTCCCACTAAGCACTAACCCGTATCTCCGTGGATATGTAACTCCCAGGTTAGTGTTTTGCGCAGGTGGATCTAATCTTGGGATGATCGAGTGGTTTTAGCTGGCCAAAATCAACAGATGATGCTCAAGTTCTTGAGTGTTAAAGCCAAAAGACTCACGTTCTTGGCCATGTTTTTTCTTCTTACTTTTTTCTTTGATTCATTGTTTCTTTTGCTTGCGTGCTTCATTACGTTCTTGCTTTGTTACTTGCTATATTCAGTTTGCTTTTGCTGCTTCTTTGATTCCTCTGCTTTGTGTATTGCTTGTTTCTTTGCTTCTTTGATTCCTCTTTTGTGCTTCCTTGATTCTTCTGTTTATTACATTGTTTGTTCTTTTGATTCCTCTGCTTAGTGTATTAAGTGTTTCTTTGCTTCTTAGATTCTTCTTCTGTATAATAAATTGTTTGTGCTTTTTTGGGCTCAACCATTTTATTTGCTTATTTGATTCTTTGTTTAGTGCATTTGCTTGTAGGGATGTCAAATGGGCTGTCCTGGTCCAAATGGGCTAGCCCAAATGGACTTATGGACATATATGTTTTATGGACAGTCATGGTCATAGCCCAAAAAGGGCCATGTCCAAATGAAGACCAAACCAAATAAGACCATGACCAATTGGACTGTCCATGAGGTCCATTACATAAACACAATGCATAAGTTCATGCATGAGAAAAACGTTTATAACTCATAATCTTTTTGATCTTTTGATACAAGTTCATACACGAGAAAAACGTTCATACAAGTTCACCAAACGTTCTTTTGATTTTGCAAAATCATACATATAAATAACCTACTAATTTGTAACTCGAATCTTCTTTCTTCGTTCTTCTTCTTGTTCTTCATCTTCATCTTCTTTAAAAAAAATCAGATTCACCTATCAAAGAAAACAAAACAAGACTATCACTAAGCTTTCACCACATTCACAAATTACTAAACAAAACTAAGTTACAAGAATTAATAAACTTGCTGATTTCCTCAAAACCCCTTGACCAGTTCCTTGCACAAATCAATGCTTGAACGTTTGACGGAAGAAGACGATACCTGTACTTGTTAAGAACTCGACTACCCACACTATATGATGTCTCGGAAGACACCGTTGTTATGGGAATGCAAAGTACATCACATGCCATACAAGACAATTCTTCAAAACGTGTGGCATTGTCTTTCCAATACTTTAAGACATCCAAACTCTTAAACGCAATCATATCCAAGGCTGATTTTCCTGTTTCAGCATTTTGTGTTACAATTACCGCCTTAACCATAATCGTGGTCATGTCTAGTCTTAGTTAAGCTGGATCCGATAATTTAGCCTTCTTTATTACTTGAAGACATTGTGCAACTGATCGATGTACCGAACTATATTAGGCTATATGATCTAAACGGTGTAATATTAGCTAGCATTTTATAATGCATGTGATGGGACTATAATGAAATGTACGTGACTATCTATACTAGTGAAATAGTGAATATTGTGGGCTGTGGCTGTCCATGACACAAGAGCTACTCTCCAAAATCATGTTAACTACAGACACAACGACAACGTGCATGTTTTGTAAAGTAGCTAACTAAAGTAACAGAAGATAAGAGCAATATATAACATGCGGTAATGGACGGAACACGGTAATAGCCTCTGTGATTTTCTCTTATCTTGTTCTTTTGTTCTTTTAGATGTGTCCACATTATTATTTCATGGGTTTTAGATCCCCCGGGGTATTGCATTAGATAGAACGAAGGTATATCATGTGCTGATTGCAATCAGTACTGCAGTTTTCCTCGTGGTTATGGTAGTTGCGAGTGGAAAATATGGAGCCGTGTGTGCACCTGTCACTATAGGTGTGCCCGTTACTAAAGGCCATTTTACAAAAAAAAGACACATATTGACAATTATAACATTATGAACTAAACAATCAGCGCTTGAAAGGTTGAAACACGATGAAATGCGAAAAATGCTCTAGTTAGAAGGTGTCCTAGTTTATTAAGATTGTCCTTACAAAATGTTGTCTGAGCCATTATAGGATCGATCGGGTCTAATAACGACTAGGCCAACCCAACGGACAAAACCTTAAGTTTAAAAAAAATTACGATATACATGTGATAAGTTCTTTTCCTTTTCTCTTTTCTGTACTTTGGGGGATGTAAACTCTATTAAGATTGAATCTTCTTTAGTTCCACACTTCCACAGGATTCTTATTAGGCGACGTAGGAGTGTATACTTCCATAACCACACTGTTTTTTCAATGTGAGTTCCTTATTTGAACTCTTGAATGAGAACTTGGTTGATTTGGAATTTATGGACTACTACGGTGTAAAGTGTTATATTTTTTTTTTTCTGTCAACAATATAGACAATCGGATCAGAATTCGGGTAATGATATAACGATAACACTACTATAAACTATTATGCAATATGTTTTTTTTCGGTTTTAAGTCTGTCTACATACATAAATAATCTTTGAATATACACGTAACACGTTATTGTTGTTGTGAATTATATTACTATTACTGTAATTCCCTATGCTTGTGTTTATAGTTGTTAATTTTACAAGACTTTATAAGATTGAGAATTCTCTAATTTATAAAAGAAGTATGTTACAAAAATAAGAGCTCCGATCCTTAGCTAGCCGACAAAACAAATGACAAAACAAACGTGTGGATAATGCAAAGTAACTACCTCTTGTGTGATGCAGAAATCAAGAGCTATAACGAAGGAAGCTACACTATACACTTGTAGCCTCTGTGATTCTCTCTTATCTTCTTCTTTGTTTTTTTTTCCTAAAAGTGTCCACATTATTCTTTCAGACTGTAACCATATAAATACCCTACGAGAGCTGGTTGGTTTCAACAAGAACAAGCAAGACCTAAACATAGAAATGACTAAGGCAATGGTGACACTCGCTTTCATTTTCGCAATTGTTTTCAATGTTGTCTCTCCAACAATAGGTACCATATCATATACTTACTTAATTTAGAAACTTATTTCTTATTTCTTGACTTATTATATATGTTGTCATTAAGATGATAGAGATATTCACAATATGTAGCACAATATTCCAATATATAAGTTACGCGATATTATTTAAATAAATGTCATTGTGTTCTAAAAGTCAATATGCATTTGGGTGCATGTAATCAAAGCTGAGATAGTGGAGAAGGGCAACCTTAATCCTCTTTCGGAAGGGGATATTGTTTTGGCTACCTATGAGGATGAGCAGGTGGCACCTAGACGATTTGGTCCGTGGATCCGGCAGACCATCTTCTCGATTAGAGGTAATTAAACCTGTCGACAACATGTGCATTAAACACGCGATATCTCATATATTGTCCCAAATCTTGTGCGTTAATCTTGTCCCGAATCTTGTGCGCTAATCCTGTCTTAAATCTAAAACGACGTCGTTTTATCATTAACAGAGTGGTTAACAGCCGTTAGTTGTTCTGTTTACAGATTTAACGTCATATGATCTTTTTTGACAAGTTGGTCAACGAAACGTAATGTTTAAAAAACCGAGCCAGCACTAGCTAATTTTGTAAATGGCAAACAACAAAGTTCATGTTTTAAATGACCTAAATTTGAAAGCTCATGATGTTTCTTTACATATTTTTCCATTGTAAAATGCCTAACCACTTCTCTTCTTTTAGATCCCCCGGGGTATTGCGTTAGAGAGAACGAAGGTATATCATGTGCTGATTGCAATGATTACTGCAGTTTTCCTCGTGGTTCTGGCGGTTATGGTCAGTGCGAGTGGAAAGTATGGAACCGTGTGTGCACCTGTCACTATAGGTGTGCCCCTTACTAAAGGCCGTTTTGGATATGGTCATCTCCATCATCATGTTTATCAAAGACAATTATGTTTGATTGTTTCTGTATGTGTTTGTATTTTGTGTACTTTTATTTATGCAACTGAATAAAAAGCCCTCTTCGTATGACCCGATCAATTAGCAATCTGACCATAATAACCATTTTTGTTACTACAAGAATTGAAGTTTTCAACAAAAGTAAATTAATATCGAAAGGTTAAGTACAGTTTCCGTCTATAAATTTGATTAATGTCAAATACTGAATATTGCTAAGAGATGTCTTTTAATTAAGAGACAATAAAAAAACTCACCGATAATGATGCTCTAATTTTTCTTTTTTTTGGCAACCGGGATATTATTAACATCAAAAGGTCTTACAGTGTAGACAAAATGTAAAAAGCCAAAGAAATTTACAACAACAAGCCAGATATCACGGACAAACAAACAAGGTTTAAAGCCAAATATAACACACAAAAATACTACTCCCTTCGTTTCATTTTAAATGATGTTTTCAACTTTCTATGCAAATATTTAATGTATTTAATAAATTTTGACCAATCATATTACATATCATATATTCTCATTGGTTGAATTTATTGCATTTAATAGAATTTTATTAAAAAGAGAAAAAATATATGTTTTCTTAATAAGTGTGTAACAACCTTAAACATCACTTAAAATAGAAGGTTGAAGTACTAAATACACATCACCATGAAAAACATTAAGAGATCTAAAAGAACTGACCAAATCAAAAACAGATTGGCAAAGAGAGAAACCCAAGAACTGTTTTAGATTGCAGGATCCCAATAAGTATTGACAGAAGTTTGTAGAGTGTAAATATTGTAATTGTTCTATTGAATTGTTTATGTTGTTGTATAATTAAAAACATACATATTATATTCAATATAAAAATATTTTCTAAAGTTTGTCTACATACAAAAGTAATCTTTCAATATACACACTATATATTGTTGTTGTGGATTATAATTGATATATAGACAACTATAACTGTAATTTCCTATGCTTGTGTTTATAACTGTAATTCCCTATTCAAGACCTGTAAAGTAAGATTGAGAATACTCTAGTTTGTATATTACAAAACACAAAGGTCCCCGATATGAAGTGAACGAAGCTAAGGTCATATACTATACAAAACAAACATGTGGAGTATGCAAAGTAACTACCTCTCTTGTGGGCTGTGGCTGTCCATGTAGAACCGAATTCTACAAACCACTCTGTTATACTAACAGACGTGTGGAACAAAGAAGAGCTGTAAGACGTACAGAGAACAAGAACTTTTACTGAATGATTCTTAACTCTTTTATTTCTCTGATTCTCTTGTGTTCTCTCTTGTTCACTTTTCTCACAATGAGATTACATAACTTATATAGAAACTAGAAATGTAACTTACTCCCATTACCCCATGGACTCATTATTGTCCTACATTAAACATAATTTGAAACCCCCAAATTAATATTAAAACCATAACTGACAAATACTTAAACTCTCACATTTATTTCTTTGACCAAGCATTGAATCACATTTCAACACTCTCCCTTGATTCAAACTTGCATACTCCAAGCTTGCTCCTGAAGTACTCGAACTTGTTCTTTGACAACGCCTTTGTCAGAACATCTGCACTCTGCTCGTTTGTGCTAC